GGAAAACGATTTTTTTTTGGTATTGCCAGAAACTCTGGTGTACTCTGGTGAGATGGCAGCTTGTGCCTTTTAAGAACTAGAGGGTGTTTCCAGAGTTACGAGAGAAGAAAATCGACTATGTAGGTTTATTTGCATTCTCATTTGTATGCTTGCTCAGGTTTTTTTTTCTTTTTTTTAATGAGATGCTATGATTTATGAAAGAGTAGAATTTTTTTACGATATGGTGTATAATGACCTCTTAATGATCGTCTCACGTGTTTAATGTCATCAGTTGGCTTTGTTTCACTCTGTTTTACTCTGTTTTCTTTGAACTGAAAAAATGGTTTTCTTTTCTGTTTATTAAATGAATGATTTATTTTTATTATTCTGTTTATGTAAATCATAATTTATTTTTATTATTCTGTTTACGTAAATCATAATAATTTATTTTTCTAAAAGAATTGTTTTTAATATTTATTTAAAAATTAGTTTCTATTATTATTTCTCTATTAATTAGGGGTCGCCCATAAATTACGTAAGACATTGTGGGGAGAGGGGTGGGTCTGCTAAATCTTACGAACCGTAGAAAAAATGGCGCTAATGTATGTAAAAAATCTTACAAAGGGGGGTGGGTGGTCAAATTTTCCAAAAAAGTGACTTGCGTAATTTATGGACGGCCCCTTATTGGAATATTAAATTAATTCCGTTAATCATTAATTAGATGAGGTTGAAGTCCTCTAAATGATGAAAAATTTAAAATGAATTTTAAGTCTAAAAAAGGAATCTATAATTCCAAAAATGTGAAACTGGAAATTTTCATTAATTTTAAATTGAATTTCACTAAGGTTTATTTTTAAATATGTAAAAATGTAAAATGGTTTATTGGAATTTTAATTTACTTGTCAGTGGAGAAAAGAAATACTGCTTTTACTGTACGATTTAATGTATAACTATAGTAGGTAGCTAGCATTTATTGATTATCTCTATAAATATAATATGTTTGAAATGAGAGATTGTTGGATTAATTTCTGTCATTTATTTTTCGAATTTTAAAATTACATTCACTTTTCTAATTAAATGTTAGAAAATTATTTTTTTGTTAACTACAAACGTTGATCATGCAGCTCTGATATTTTAGGTACGGAATTTTCAAGAACGGTACTGGTTTTAGTTTACCGATCAAATCATTTTTTTAGAATAGCAGTTGAAAAAACGTTAGAATATTGTTTTTTAGTAAAGAAAAACAAATTTGAAAGTCCTAGAATATTCTACGCCTTTGCTGAAAATAGGCAAAACAGGATCAAAGGTGGAATATAGAATTGCAAAGGTCAGGAGTCAGATTGACAATAAAGGAAATGAGAAGAGGAAGATTGAGGGCTTCCTGAGGTCGATCTTGTAGTTTCGTAGAGTAAAAAAAAAGGCAAAACAGAGGCATCTGCTGAAATCGAGAGCAATAACAAAGAGGAATCTAATACTGTAAAGGGAATTTTTTTTCTAAGTCAGATAAAAATACAAATAGGAATTGAAAGTGAACTGTAATTTATAGATTCACGGGAATTAATTTAATTTAGAAAAAACTTATTAGCTTTTTCTATATTAAATAATTTGTAATAGACCGCAGTAGTTAAAGTCTTTTCTCGAATTTCTCTCTATTGCCAATCAATCTTAACTTTCTATACCCTCTTTCATAAAATTCATACCACAATTCCTTGAATGCGCTCGATTTTTATCTATTGCAAAAGTAAAGAGCGTTATATCTATATATAGAATCCGAGAAAAAGTGAGAAACGTGAAGAAAATCACAGAGGCACGCCAAGTAGGTGAAACGGGAAAAGTGGTCCCTTGAAATTATTCCCACGTATGCCAGTGAAAGAATGAAGTCTCTCCAAGTGTTTCCGACTCGGTATTGAACGAATTTTGTTTTATTATTTCATAAAGGTTTTTATTTCTAGATGTTCATGAGTGCAACAATTTCATTGTTGAAAATTTTGAGAAACATTTCTTGTACATTCCAAATAAAGTTCGACTTTTGGCCTATTCCTCTGAACAGTTTTTTTAAAGACAAGAGCGTGAAAATAATTTTACGCTTGGAAAATTCGAGACTTTGTCCGTGTAACTCAATTAATTTCGAAATTGTCAGTGAAGATATTTTGTGTGCGTCTCATCGTTTCGGTGTTTAGAGTTGACAAAGCTGTCCTCACTCATCACTAAACAATGGGGGAGTATAGTCGAGTCAAGAGAAATCTTGAATTTGAGTTCTGTGCATGGTTTTTCCTTTTCTTGTTATTTAATTCGAGAGTGAATAAGTGACTTTCCCATCTATGTTGGGTATGAAACGTCGTTTCCCGACACACATTCCGAGCGCATCATGTCCGTGTATACAAATATAATAATGGACGAAACGAGAATGCTGTGGAGCGAAATTGTATGTGTATGCCTATGTATAATCACGTGTAGAGCTCCAGTGGACAATGTGTACACACGCAAACATGAAACTCGCCAACCTATATATATAAATGCAAACCCAATGTCTTACCAAAGTGCCGTGCTCGCCCTTTCCGTTGATGGGAAACTTGTCGTTGTGTAGGAACACCGGGAATCTTCCCTGTTTCCCGAAGGGTGTGACAAGCTCGGCCATGCTATATTAACCACTATGCCTACAGAGGGTGAAACTTTCGAGAGCGAATCCCTCCCTCCCTCTCTCTCACTCACTCGTTTTCTAACGTCTCCTTGTTCTGACAAATACGGAATGAAATTATTTATTTAAACTTTTTTCCTGTGTGAAATTACTCGACAATGGTAGTTGCAACTCATGGTATTTATAGTGGTTGGTGGTTGTAATCGACGGTAGTTGCGAATATTAGTACTTGTCATTGACGGTATTTTTAATAAACTGTTGTTTAAACCAACGATGGTTACAATTTTTGGTACTTTTAGCCAACGGTAGTTACAAATGATGAAAGTTGATACCAAGGATAGTTGCTCCTAATAATTTTAAACCAGCGTCCATTTTTCATAAATACTTTGAAAGATATCATTAATTACCGCCAGTTGATGGTAATAATCATCAGTATCGAAATAGAACTTTTAAGCGTATGTGGTATAAATACAATTGTATTAAAAAAAATCATCGAACCTACTATGATATAAATATAATTAAACACCAAAGCAAAGAGAGGAAGATAGAGAGGGAGATAGAGAAATAAGTGATTCCGGAAAATAAATTTATTTCCTAGCAATAAGTGTCCATGCGGTTTCATAACGTATGCGCAGTGTATTCTGTTTCAAGTCGCGGTTTTCACGCTCGGAACCATACGAAACCGCAATGTTTTGGCGGTATTGCTAAGACGCGACAGACAGTCGCTCTGTGCCTCTGTGGCAGCACGACAAGAATTTAATTTATGCTTCAACGGGTACGTAACCGCCCCCGAGAATCTATGGCTGCGCCTAACTTTACGCTTGCGTCATGAACTCACTCTCTGAGACTTATAAATCCAAACTGTAAACAAAAATTATGTAAAACAAAAGTTTTGTCTGTTTCAAAAAAAAATTTTGTTAGTTTTTTCTAACAGGGATTTTTTCCATTTGGCAGTACATGTGGGACAATGCATCATTTACTGTGGACAAATTTAATAGTACGTTGTTAAAACAATTTATTGGAATTTATGGAAAAAATTTCCAGTTTTTTGTATTTTAATTTGATTATTTTAGTATTCTGATTGTTTAGTGTTCAATTATTTTTGACTTAAATATCAATTATTAATTTAAATAATAACCTTAATGTTAATTAATCTTAGAATGTTAATAACAATTAAGTACAGGGTTAAGTACAGGGCAATTTTTTTCTCCCAAAGTTTCTTTAGTTGGTGTGTTTAAGAGTTAAAAAGAGAAGGGCAGAGATAGTGAAGAGGGGAAGAAGGAAGTTTTCCTAGTAGAATTTATATACGAAGTTCAGTGGCTTATAATAATTTTATATGAGGAAGTTGAATCAACAGAAACGTTTCCCTTTGAGGTTTAGCGAATCGTCGCCACAAGTTTTGGAGCAAAAAAAAAAAAATAATAATAATAATAATGATGAAGATGAAATAAAAGCTCAAGATGCGGATTCTGTTTTTGGCAGATTGCCGAGTTACATTCACGTTTAAAAGACGAATCGATTCATGGATATTTTGTCAACATTTTCCAACAAAAAAAACTTTCTCATTTTCTCCGTCTGCTGCTTTTTTATTGTTATTAACTCATTTTTGTTTTCATTCTAAACGTATTCTTTTGAATTCAATATATAAATATTTTATAGGAAGAATTCGTACTTATTCTACTTTATCAGATTCATTTAAATTCATCGACATCTTTATATTTATTTTATTTGTTAATAGTGGTTTAAAATAATAATAGATTAATAATAGTACCATTTTCTTTGAAATTAAAGAGATTTTTTGAAGAATATAGACTAATTTAATTTATTACAATTTCGAAATTAAAAGTTGATATTAAATGTCGTAAGTAATTTTTGAATGGTTAATTTTTTTTTCTTTTTCTTTCTTCTTTTTTTTTGTCGTAAAGAATGTCAGACTGGAATGAAGAACAAGAAAGAAATGGAATCTTTTGTCTTTTGCAAAGCTCATGAAAAGCCTTAAAAGTCGCTTATGACTTGGATTAATGAAACAATTCACTCCACTTATATTCTTCGCTAGCTCATCTTACGTTTTTCTCTCTTTTTTTCCCACTCTCGTATATAATCATCATCATCATTTCTATCCTTCATTTTCGTTGAAGCTCTCTCGTGGCTTTTTTCTCTCTGATCTCTTATAGACCCTTTAGCCTTTCGCCCTCGAAAAAAAAGAATTTCGATCATATTTCTGCTGTTTGAAAATTTATATAATAAACAATGGTTTTTTATTCACCCTTTTTAGGTATAATGATGAGAATAATATATACGATTGTAAATTTTATTTTTTATTCTGCAAGTCATTGATTTTATTGCAACTGTAAAAGTAATTGATTGTTTCTTTTTGTTTCAGACGTTGAGAGCACTTTGGAAACATTTCTGGTGAGTCCACTTAATTTGAATATATTTTTTTCTACTTTAAACAATTAACTTTAAATACCTTATTATTTATATTTATATTTATTATTTAGGTATTAGTTGATTAGTTTTATTATTTTTACTAAAAAAATAAAATTATATAACAAACAATATAAAATAAATATTATATAGTATAAATATTTATTTATTATTTTTGTTATATTGTTTGTTTTAAATAATATTGGAAAAAAGTTGGTAAATTTGAGAGTGCCAGCGATAGAGGCTATTTTTATAGTCAATGTCGATTTATGAACGTGTGGCACTCTTATCACGGTAGACTCTTTTATGAGGGCCCCGGGAGAAGAAAGAGGTGCTAAAGATGTTGCATGTTTTCTAAGAAAACATATATTTTGAGGTTAGACAAGGTTTATACTCGCGTATAAGAAAAGCCGTTTCCGACTACAAACTTTTCTTACAAAACTGTGGGAAAGGGAAAGTAATCGATTTATGTACCTTGCGTGAAACTTTGTAAAACTGTTGCTTTTCCATTATATGTATATATTCACTAAAATAATTCTGCAAAATTCATTTACAAATTATTTCATTTTCAATTCTATTTACAAAATTGTTTTCTAAAATTATTATCTCCATTTTTTGTTAGAAATTAAAACGGTAGTTATTATATTTATTCATAGTCGTAAATTTTTGATCTCAAGTTAATTAATTTGTGAATTTTTAATTCAGTTATTCAAAGTAATTATGGTAATTTTTAGCATTATCTCATTAAAATTATTGTTGATATTTTGTTTGCATCGTACCTTCAGTTTGTGTATTTTACACTTTATTCTAACACTCGACGAACGTGGTGCAAAATAAAGGGTGGTCGTAAATTCCCCCCTTTTCCCTCCCCCTGTAAAACCGTCTCGACTTACTTATTTGCCACCTGCAAGCTCACCGCAATCTTCTTCTATAACCATTCACCCCCACGGGAATATATCGTTCTAGAAAACATTTTTTTTTCTTTTGCCTAAAGAAAAAGTTGTTTTCAAGTCGATAAAATTAAAATATTTTATCATTAATCTCCTCAACGAGTAGGTGGTGAATAAATTAACTGTTCTGAATATATTTCTGATAACGAGGTTGGGAATTACTACTTCAGTGAATAATTTTTGATAATGTGATTTTAAAGTTGTCTGTAGTTTGGAATTACGCATTATGGAGATAAGAGATTTTTAATCGTAGTTGTAATTTGTTTTTTAATTAATTAGTCAATTGATTAATTTTAGAGTTGAGCTGTCTGTTTGATATTTTATCGGAAAATAAATGAATAAAAAGAGATTGCAATTAATGGAGTATAAGTATTGGGATGAAATGAAATTTTGTGAGAATCACGTGAAATTAAATGAAGCCCTGGCTTTCAATGGAAAATTTCGGTGGGGATTATTTAAGGTGATATATTGCATCGGTGCATCATGGCTTAATACCTGAAATACGACTGATACTGCTGTCAGTTTGTCAAGTACAATTTGTAACCGAAACATTTTCATCGTTAGCATCACCCTTCACTAGTCCGGATTCGGACGATTTATTAGGCGAATCTCTTTCTCTCTTTCGGTCGCTTCATCTTCTTGTTTCAACAGCAAGGTGAAGATTTTTTCCTACACTAAACGTGACAAGATTAATTTCAAAATTAGGCTCCTGCTGCTTCTTTCCATCCTAAAATTTCCCTGTCTGCTGAAGGTTCGCTTTTCTAGGTGAAAATTTGCAAATTCAGATTTTTCCACTATTCATTGTTCGGTATAAAAATATATTTGTATGAGTTATTTATTTTTAGAAATTGAATGCAGAGTTGATAGATAGCTCAAGTGGTGTGTACGAGTATTATAAAATCGCTCTATTCTCTACTGAAAGTGGGTTAAGCTGTTGGTTTTCGTTCAGTAATATAATGTTTTGGAGTCGAGGGTGTAACTAATGTGCAAGTGGAGTCTCACTTTACTTGTCAACGAAACGAGATAAAGTTTTGTGTCACGCTTGCAAATTTGCTGACCATTTCGGTCAGCTGGTGGTAATTATTTGAATCTCTCAAGGAAACTTTTCAAATCAAAGAATAGGATTTAGAACTGCTATTAAAAAGAGATTTTTTAATTTTTAATTTCAATTTTCTTCTTTCTTCTTTTTGGAATATTAAAATCAAATTACAGGTATAATCTTTTTCCTACAAGATTTGGTAAATATGTGCAGAAAAATTATATTTAAATTTCTCATCGATTTTTATTTAGAGTACAATTTATTTTATCATATGCATCGAGTATGGATTACGGAATAAAAATTTTTGAAGGTAAATCTTTTTCCGTCGGGAATCTTGGCTCTCTCGATGTCGCAAACCATTTCTCATAAATTTCACGCGACGATTGGAACGGAATTTTCTTCTTGTTATAAATAAATATCAAAATACGATTTTAATATAAAAATAAATTTTCATTCTTAATTTCAATTTTATAAAATGAGTAAACTAGAATGGAATTTTTCTAAGAAATGAAACATCCAAATATAAACAAAGAGATAATTAACTTAACAGATAAAAAGATTTTATTTTATAACGGATTCTTTTAATTATATTTTCCTTTTGTTTTTGACGATAGTTTTTCTCAACAATTTTAAATAGATGTTTAAAAAAAGATTCTTTTCTCTATGTCTGTCAAATTGAAACTATTCACACAACATGATGTTGATGGTTATAAAAAAAGTAATTGACATTTAGCACCGTGATGCCTAATTAAACTGGTATGTACATGTTGTGAAATTTCCTGCCAACTGTATATCTACAGCTGCTTGTTGTATCAAATACGAATCAAACTATTTAAATTCGAAATTTTTCTTTATTTTCCCAGCTTATAATAGAAAAATTTCTTATTTAAATTGAAAACTGTAAAAATTGCAAATTTTGTTCATTATTCAATTTTTTCGCTTTTTTCCTCAAATATATATTCCTCTCTGAATAGATAAAATGAACGGCTTAGAGTCGATAAAGAAGGATTAGTTGAACTAGATCCTTGGAATGGATGATACGGAATGACCAGAAGGAAATTTAATTCCGAGAGATAGCGTACTTGATTTCTCGCTCGCGTGGTTTAAAGAAAGAAAGAAGAAAAAGAGGGAAAATAAAAAAATTTCAAACCATCCAATCGTTTGAATTAATTTTATCAGATGGGATTCGATTTTATAATCGCTTTATAAAATGATACCTATATAAACATATTCAATATGTATTAAATTTTGTTGACAATTTAATGTTTGAAAAAAATCTACGAACACGATGAAAGATTATTAAAAAAAAGTTGTCTTTGTATCAATTTAAAAAGATGACATTTTTTTTTAATTACAGATTTTAATTAAAAAAATTTTTAATTAAATTACGGATGTATATTATCTTTTTTTTTCTCCTTTTTCACATTTCTTTTCTCAGGTTTTTCATTAAATCGTTATTTGTTTTTCTGAATAACTTAAATTGAGTACATCTCTTTCAAGATGTAGTACTGTATTCTTAGCGCAAAACGTTCGTTATCGATTTTGTATTATTCGAGTCTGTAATTTATTTGTGTCGCATATTTCTCCATTCAATCGTATTCTTTAATGACATTTATAAAAGAAAATATTATTCATTTTAAAAAAAGGTTTTTATTTTTAAAAATTTTGGTTTAAAAATTGGTTTTCATTGGAATTTTACTTACATTTTTTTACACAAGAAGAAAAAGTTACTTATTTACTTATTTCTATCCGCATTTTTTTTCTTTAACAGTAATAACGGGAGAAAAAAATTCGAAATTTAATAACTATCTGGTACCTGTATAGGATTTTTAAAAGCTTATTAAAAAGTTTGTTGAAAAACGCTCTCTCTCTCTCTTGCTCTTGAAGTTGAGAAAGCTACAGAATAAATATTCTGAATGCTTCGCCATTCAGAATATACTTGTTTGAATTATCCACGAGTAGTGTATACGAGAATTAATTTCATACTGCTAGGAGAGTTTTTATATTTTTCTTTTTGCATACGTGAAAAAACGTTCGGTGGAATAAGGTTTAAAAAGAAATTTCACTCTGTGTGCTCATTTCACAGTGGAATTTCAGATTTTGTTTTATTTTTTTTTTCGACGAAACGTTTTCTTCTAAACTATAGAATTGCAGTTAATTGAGAAAAAATTGTTCTGTTCTCTCTAGTTCACAATTCTTAAATCCTACTTTCATTGTTACCGGGGATTTTTTTTACTTTGTCTTATTTCTTATACATCTTTTTTATAATTATATGTAAATTTTTTTTCTATTTCTTTGAAAATAATATAATTTTGAATGCAGTTTCTACTTTTTGACTTCTAATTGTAATCATTAACATCCTCCACTATCGTCAATTAACATTGCAGACAATGTTGAATTTAAGACTGATCTTAAATTAAGATTTTCTTTTTACTGTGCAGTGTACGTGTGTGTGTGTTTGAAGCAATTCAAAGACCCACTGAGGATTGGAAAAGGAAGCCTGGAGCTAAGCATGAGGTTCAACTGTATATTGAGAGGAAAAAAAATTAAAACTCTGTATACTTTCTTTTTCTTTACTGAACTTTTTGAATCAAGTTCGCTTCTTTTTAGACTTGATAGAAACGCTTTTATGGTTCTAGGCTAGTTAGAAAAATCCTCTTTTTTTACGATCTCAGTTCATGAATTTCTTTTTCGAAAGTACTTTCAAACTTGAAAAATACTTGTATTTGAAGAATTTAATTTAATTGAGTGGAAATTTGTAATATTTCGAAACTATAGGTTTTCGTAACGTTACACTTGAAATTGTTAGAAAATTGAAAATATTCAATTTAAAAACTCCAATAACATGAACAATAGAAAAATTAATGTAGCGTTCCAATTGGAACATTGACCTTATAAAAAAAGAATTTTATCTAGTTCTCTTATCATTGTTTCTGAATTCAGCTCTTGCAGAATCGATATAAAAGTAGGAGGGTATCGCGTGCAGACGTGTTGGC